TAGGGAGAGGCTAGAGGGGAGAGGTCAGGTGTAGGAAGAGGCTAGAGGGGAGAGGTCCGGTGTAGGGAGAGGCTAGAGGGGAGAGGTCAGGTGTAGGGAGAGGCTAGAGGGGAGAGGGCAGGTGTACGGAGAGGCTAGAGGGGAGAGGTCAGGTGTAGGGAGAGGCTAGAGGGGAGAGGTCAGGTGTAAGGAGAGGCTAGAGGGGAGAGGGCAGGTGTAGGGAGAGGCTAGAGGGGAGAGGAGAGAGGGCAGGTGTAGGGAGAGGCTAAAGGGGAGAGGTCAGGTGTAGGGAGAGGCTAGAGGGGAGAGGGCAGGTGTAGGGAGAGGGCAGGGGTAGGGAGAGGCTAGAGGGGAGAGGTCAGGGGTAGGGAGAGGCTAGAGGGGAGAGGTCAGGTGTAGGGAGAGGCTAGAGGGGAGAGGTCAGGTGTAGGAAGAGGCTAGAGGGGAGAGGTCCGGTGTAGGGAGAGGCTAGAGGGGAGAGGTGAGGTGTAGGGAGAGGCTAGAGGGGAGAGGGCAGGTGTAGGGAGAGGCTAGAGGGGAGAGGGGAGAGGGCAGGTGTAGGGAGAGGCTAAAGGGGAGAGGTCAGGGGTAGGGAGAGGGCAGGTGTAGGGAGAGGATAGAGGGGAGAGGGCAGGTGTACGGAGAGGCTAGAGGAGAGAGGTAAGGTGTAGGGAGAGGCTAGAAGGGAGAGGTCAGGTGTAGGGAGAGGCTAGAGGGGAGAGGGCAGGTGTAGGGAGAGGGCAGGTGTAGGGAGAGGGCATGTGTAGGGAGAGGGCAGGTGTAGGGAGAGGGCAGGTGTAGGGAGAGGGCAGGTGTAGGGAGGGGGCAGGTGTAGGGAGAGGGCAGGAGTAGGGAGAGGGCAGGTGTAGGGAGGGGGCAGGTGTAGGGAGAGGGCAGGTGTAGGGAGAGGGCAGGTGTAGGGAGAGGGCAGGTGTAGGGAGAGGGCAGGTGTAGGGAAAGGGCAGGTGTAGGGAGATGGCAGGAGTAGGGAGAGGGCAGGTGTAGGGAGAGGGCAGGTGTAGGGAGAGGGCAGGTGTAGGGAGAGGGCAGGTTTAGGGAGAGGGCAGGTGTAAGGAGAGGGCAGGTGTAGAGAGAGGGCAGGAGTAGGGAGAGGGCAGGTGTAGAGAGAGGGCAGGAGTAGGGAAAGGGCAGGTGTAGGGAGAGGGCAGGTGTAGGGAGAGGGCAGGTGTAGGGAGAGGGCAGGTGTAGGGAGAGGGCAGGTGTAGGGAGAGGGCAGGTGTAGGGAGAGGGCAGGTGTAGGGAGAGGGCAGGTGTAGGGAGAGGGCAGGTGTAGAGAGAGGGCAGGAGTAGAGAGAGGGCAGGTGTAGGGAGAGGGCAGGTGTAGGGAGAGGGCAGGTGTAGGGAGAGGGCAGGTGTAGGGAGAGGGCAGGTGTAGGGAGAGGGCAGGTGTAGAGAGAGGGCAGGAGTAGGGAGAGGGCAGGTGTAGGGAGAGGGCAGGTGTAGAGAGAGGGCAGGAGTAGGGAGAGGGCAGGTGTAGGGAGAGGGCAGGTGTAGAGAGAGGGCAGGTGTAGGGAGAGGGCAGGTGTAGGGAGAGGGCAGGTGTAGGGAGGGGGCAGGTGTAGGGAGATGGCAGGTGTAGGGAGAGGGCAGGTGTAGGGAGAGGGCAGGTGTAGGAGAGGGCAGGAGTAGGGAAAGGGCAGGAGTAGGGAAAGGGCAGGAGTAGGGAGAGGGCAGGTGTAGAGAGAGGGCAGGTGTAGAGAGAGGGCAGGAGTAGGGAAAGGGCAGGTGTAGAGAGAGGGCAGGAGTAGGGAGAGGGCAGGTGTAGGGAGAGGGCAGGTGTATAGAGAGGGCAGGAGTAGGGAGAGGGCAGGTGTAGGGAGAGGGCAGGTGTAGTGAGAGGGCAGGAGTAGGGAGAGGGCAGGTGTAGGGAGAGGGCAGGTGTAGAGAGAGGGCAGGAGTAGGGAAAGGGCAGGTGTAGAGAGAGGGCAGGAGTAGGGAGATGGCAGGTGTAGGGAGAGGGCAGGTGTAGGGAGAAGGCAGGTGTAGAGAGAGGGCAGGTGTAGGGAGGGGGCAGGTGTAGAGAGAGGGCAGGTGTAGAGAGAGGGCAGGTGTAGGGAGAGGGCAGGAGTAGGGAGAGGGCAGGTGTAGGGAGAGGGCAGGTGTAGGGAGAGGGCAGGTGTAGGGAGAGGGCAGGTGTAGGGAGAGGGCAGGTGTAGAGAGATGGCAGGTGTAGGGAGGGGGCAGGTGTAGGGAGAGGGCAGGTGTAGGGAGAGGGCAGGTGTAGGGAGAGGGCAGGTGTAGAGAGAGGGCAGGTGTAGGGAGGGGGCAGCTGTAAGAGAGAGGAGAGTGAGGGGTAAGGGGCCTACCATGAAAGGACCCCACAAGGAGCCAGAAAGGAATATGAAAGAGAGCCGTTGGTGTGATCCCTGAATAAGACCGGGGCCACAGTCCTCCAAGAATACCACATTACCTTCCTCAGCAGCACAGTAATCCCTGCCACCCCGCGCCTCACCTCCCCCAGCAGCACAGTAATCCCTGCCACCCCGCGCCTCACCTCCCCCAGCAGCACAGTAATCCCTGCCACCCCGCGCCTCAAACACCACCTTATTACAACACCAATATCGAATTATATATATAGAGGATCAAGCTAATATAACCCAGCAAAGGACCTAATGTATTATAAGACAGGACCTAATGTGTCATAACACAGGACCTAATGTATCATAACACAGGACCTAATGTGTCATAACACAGGACCTAATGTGTCATAACACAGGACCTAATGTATCATAAGACAGGACCTAATGTATCATAACACAGGACCTAATGTATCATAACACAGGACCTAATGTATCATAACACAGGACCTAATGTGTCATAACACAGGACCTAATGTGTCATAAGACAGGACCTAATGTATCATAAGACAGGACCTAATGTATCATAACACAGGACCTAATGTATCATAAGACAGGACCTAATGTATCATAAGACAGGACCTAATGTATCATAAGACAGGACCTAATGTATCATAAGACAGGACCGAATGTGTCATAAGACAGGACCGAATGTATCATAAGACAGGACCTAATGTATCATAAGACAGGACCTAATGTATCATAAGACAGGACCGAATGTGTCATAAGACAGGACCGAATGTATCATAAGACAGGACCGAATGTGTCATAAGACAGGTCCTAATGTATCATAAGACAGGACCTAATGTATCATAAGACAGGACCTAATGTATCATAACACAGGACCTAATGTATCATAACACAGGACCTAATGTATCATAAGACAGGACCTAATGTATCATAAGACAGGACCGAATGTGTCATAAGACAGGACCTAATGTATCATAAGACAGGACCTAATGTATCATAACACAGGACCTAATGTATCATAACACAGGACCTAATGTATCATAACACAGGACCTAATGTGTCATAACACAGGACCTAATGTATCATAACACAGGACCTAATGTATCATAAGACAGGACCTAATGTATCATAACACAGGACCTAATGTATCATAAGACAGGACCTAATGTATCATAACACAGGACCTAATGTATCATAACACAGGACCTAATGTATCATAAGACAGGACCTAATGTATCATAACACAGGACCTAATGTATCATAAGACAGGACCTAATGTATCATAAGACAGGACCTAATGTATCATAAGACAGGACCTAATGTATCATAACACAGGACCTAATGTATCATAAGACAGGACCTAATGTGTCATAACACAGGTCCTAATGTATCATAAGACAGGACCTAATGTATCATAAGACAGGACCTAATGTATCATAAGACAGGACCGAATGTGTCATAAGACAGGTCCTAATGTATCATAAGACAGGACCTAATGTATCATAAGACAGGACCTAATGTATCATAACACAGGACCTAATGTGTCATAAGACAGGACCTAATGTATCATAAGACAGGACCTAATATAACACAGCAGAGGACCTAATATAACAACAGAGGACCCACACACAACAGAGGACCTAAATATAACAACAGAGGACCCACACACAACAGAGGACCTAAATATAACAACAGAGGACCCACACACAACAGAGGACCTAAATATAACAACAGAGGACCCACACACAACAGAGGACCTAAATATAACAACAGAGGACCCACACACAACAGAGGACCTAAATATAACAACAGAGGACCCACACACAACAGAGGACCTAAATATAACAACAGAGGACCCACACACAACAGAGGACCTAAATATAACAACAGAGGACCTAAATATAACAACAGAGGACCCACACACAACAGAGGACCTAAATATAACAACAGAGGACCCACACACAACAGAGGACCTAAATATAACAACAGAGGACCCACACACAACAGAGTGAGTATGTGTATAAAGTATATGTGGAAGGTGATCTGAAAACATTTCACCTCTGTAAATGCACATTAATGACACTATGTAAAAGACACATCGACCACTTTATGTAGGGCAGACGTAACTCTGTGTATCTATGTACTTAGGTCTGTAGGTTAGATTAGCATTTTAAAAGCACTACAATCACCTTCTGTGGTTGATTGTTCAATAAATCCCTGAACTATATGTTTAACACATCTCTCACCCTGTCCATGGAGGACAGAAGAAAATGTATATATGCTGATTAGCATTGTAAATGTGTGACCACGTCTGTGGCAGAACAAAAATATAGACACGGCCACTATCCGCATCACCCACGTGCGGGTACCACTCACCAACCCCCCTTCTCTCACCAGACACGGCCACTATCCGCATAATCCGCGTGCAGGGTTCCACTCACCAACCCCCTTCTCTCACCAGACACGGCCACTATCCGCATGATCCGCGTGCGGATTCCACTCACCAACCCCCTTCTCTCACCAGACACGGCCACTATCCGCATCACCCACGTGCGGGTACCACTCACCAACACACCTTCTCTCACCAGACACGGCCACTATCCGCATGATCCGCGTGCGGGTACCACTCACCAACACACCTTCTCTCACCAGACACGGCCACTATCCGCATCACCCACGTGCGGGTACCGGAGACGGTGGAGGCCGGGGGAGAGGGAGACCTGGAGTGCTCGTGGGAGGAGGACAGCGACAACGTGTACTCCATCAAGTGGTACCAGGGAGCCCACGAGTTCTACCGCTACACGCCCACCGCCGCCCACCCCGTCCAGATCTTTGACCCGCCCACCCTCGATGTTGACGTGAGTAGCCCACCCTCCATGTTGACCACAGTAGCCCACCCTCGATGTTGACGTGAGTAGCCCACCCTCCATGTTGACCACAGTAGCCCACCCTCGATGTTGACGTGAGTAGCCCACCCTCCATGTTGACCACAGTAGCCCACCCTCCATGTTGACCACAGTAGCCCACCCTCCATGTTGACCACAGTAGCCCACCCTCCATGTTGACCACAGTAGCCCACCCTCCATGTTGACCACAGTAGCCCACCCTCCATGTTGACCACAGTAGCCCACCCTCCATGTTGACCACAGTAGCCCACTCTCCATGTTGACCACAGTAGGCCACCCTCCATGTTGACCACAGTAGCCCACCCTCCATGTTGACCACAGTAGCCCACCCTCCATGTTGACCACAGTAGCCCACCCTCACGGATAATGAGTCCACACCCCACACTCTCCCCCACACCTTCACCCCACACTCTCCCCCACACCTTCACCCCACACTCTCCCCCACACCTTCACCCCACACTCTCCCCCCACACTCTCCCCCACACCTTCACCCCACACTCTCCCCCCACACTCTCCCCCACATCCTCACCCCACACTCTCTCCCACACCTTCACCCCACACTCTCCCCCACACCTTGACCCCACACTCTCCCCCACACCTTCACCCCACACTCTCCCCCACACCTCACCCCACACTCTCCCCCACACCTTGACCCCACACTCTCCCCCACACCTTCACCCCACACTCTCCCCCACACCTTGACCCCACACTCTCCCCCACACCTTCACCCCACACTCTCCCCCACACCTTGACCCCACACTCTCCCCCACACCTTGACCCCACACTCTCCTCCACACCCTCACCCCACACTCTCCCCCACACCTTCACCCCACACTCTCCTCCACACCCTCACCCCACACTCTCCCCCACACCCTCACCCCACACTCTCACCCACACCCTCACCCCACACTCTCCCCCACACCTTCACCCCACACTCTCTCCACACCCTCACCCCACACTCTCCTCCACACCCTCACCCCACACTCTCCCCCACACCCTCACCCCACACTCTCCCCCACACCCTCACCCCACACTCTCACCCACACCCTCACCCCACACTCTCCCCCACACCCTCACCCCACACTCTCCCCCACACCTTCACCCCACACTCTCCCCCACACCCTCTCACCCCACACTCTCCCCCACACCCTCACCCCACACTCTCCCCCACACCTTCACCCCACACTCTCCCCCACACCTTCACCCCACACTCTCCCCCACACCCTCACCCCACACTCTCCCCCACACCTTCACCCCCACACTCTCCTCCACACCTTCACCCCACACTCTCCCCACACCCTCACCCCACACTCTCCCCCACACCCTCACCCCACACTCTCCCCCACACCTTACATCAACAATATTACAGAGCCAGGTAATGCAAACAATGAGAGCAACAGTGAGAAAGAATGCATTAATTAAGGACTTGGGACGAAAGACGGAGATGGCGCCAATAAAGAGGTAGACAAGACTGACACTGATATAAATTCCCTGAAAAAGTAAAAACTAGAAATATATGCAAATTCTATGCACAAGGAATATGCAAATATGGGAAATTAAAGGCAGAATGCACTTTTCTTCATCCTCGAAAATGCAGGAACATGTTGGCGAGGGGTACATGCTGTTTTGGAACGGAGTGCAGATACTTCCACTAAAAATTATGTATATTTTCAATTAGGGACCAAAAAATCTTACAATCTTCTGTGTTCGGAATTCCACGTGAGAGGCACACAGCGTTATAGACGGGAAGATCAATATGACACTACTGGATTTTTTTTAGAGGAAGGCAGAAACAAAGTAGAACACGAGAGAGGAACAGTCAGATGGAACCACTGCAAGATTACAGAGGGGAAGGGAGATACCCACAAGACTGCCATACAAATTACCAACAAGTACCCAAGTACTACACCACACAACACCCGTCCTACTACCAAAACTGGACGAAACACTACCAGAACAACACACCCTGGACCTGCGTGGAGTGGGGGGAGAACTATTAAAGCTCACCAGAAGTGACACGGAGTATGGGAAATCTTTCATATTGTAAACGTACAAGGCCTGAAGTCAAAATCAAGAAATAAAGTTAAGTTCATAAATGGCCTCCTAATGGAATCAAATTCAATATTTGGTGCATTTACAGAAACCTACAGAAAAGACCACATGAATAGTAAAATATGGATCCCAAATTATAACCTATATAGATGCGACAGAGTAATTAGGTCAAGTGGAGGAGTAGGTCTGTATATTAAAGAGGAGCTGGCATGCACAGAGCTCCTGAACTCGTCCAATAAAGTAGTAGAGGTACTTGGAATCAAGGTAGAAAATATTAATCTACTTATTATTTTAATATACAAACCGCCAGATGCAGCAGTTGAGGAATTCACTGAACAGATCCACAAAATATATTATATCCTTGATAACCTAGCAAACCCAGTACCAGATATTATCTTCCTTGGAGACTTCAATCTACTTTAAAATGGCGAATAGTAAACAATAACATTACAGCAGGAAATCAACCTGGAAATAAGAAACCACAGGTGAGAGAACTACTGAGATTCTGTGACAAATTCTCGCTCAGTCAGCAGATTACAGAACCAACTAGGAACGAATGAAGGTGTGGAGTGAACGTTCACCCCCACACACTCTCGCCACACCTTCACCCAACACTCTCCTCCACACCTTCACCCCACACTCACCCCTCACACCTTCATCACACACTCACCCCTCACACCTTCATCACACACCTTCACTCCCCACTCTCTCCCATACCCTTACCCTACACCCTCCCCCACACCTTCACTCCACACTCTCCCTCACACCTTCACCCCAACACTCCCCACACTTTCTTCCCACACCTTCACCCCACACTCTCGCCCACAGAAGAAGAAGTCTTGGGGCGGCAGCGTACACATTGCCAACGTGACCACGGCAGCAGAAGGCGCCTTCCACTGTGAGGTCTCCGCTGACGGGCCCACCTTCCACACCGCCTCCGCGGCTGCCACACTCATGGTCCTTGGTGAGTATATGGGAGGGGGACGGCTGGGCTGGGGGAGGAGGGAGGGGGGACGGCTGGGCTGGGGGAGGGAGGGAGGGAGGGGGGACGGCTGGGCTGGGGAGGGAGGGAGGGAGGGGGGACGGCTGGGCTGGGGAGGGAGGGAGGGAGGGGGGACGGCTGGGCTGGGGAGGGAGGGAGGGAGGGGGGACGGCTGGGCTGGGGAGGGAGGGAGGGAGAGTCACTGGCTGTCAGAGTGAGCGCTACTAGATGGGGGTGAGCATCACATTAGGTTTGGAGGACCTAAATTTGCTTGACAGACTTCCAGTTGAAATAAGTTACCAATATGCCCATATATAAGAATACCAATACGCCAGTATATCTGTCAACCAGACGTATTTTGTTTTTAGTCCTCTTCAGCATTCTTCCAGGAACTGTGTGTGAGTGCGTCATTAAACAAATGCACTTTACCAGTATTGCTTAGGAAATATGATACGAAGAGAAAATATATATTGGAACTAGAGAATATTGAACCTTCTTGTAGCCCCTGGAAGCACCTTGAAACAGGTCTGGAGCATCAATGCCAAGTAGCTGCTGGAAAAGTGACCTGGAGCAGGTCTGGAAACATCAATACCCAGCAGCTCCTGAAACAGAGCCATGGATCAGGTCTGGAAACATCAATACCCAGCAGTTCCTGGAAGAGAACCATGGAGCAGGTCTGGAAACATCAGTACCCTGCAGCTCCTGAAAGAGATCTATGGAGCAGGTCTGGAAACATCAATACCCTGCAGCTCCTGAAAGAGATCTATGGAGCAGGTCTGGAAACATCAATACCCAGCAGCTCCTGGAAGAGGACCCTGGAGCAGGTCTGGAAATGTCAATACCCAGCAGCTCCTGGAAGAGAATCCCGGAGCAGGTCTGGAAATGTCAATACCCAGCAGCTCCTGGAAGAGAAACATGGAGCAGGTCTGGAAACATCAATACCCAGCAGTTCCTGAAGCGACAAAGAGGGACGGAGAACGTCCTGTTTCCGAGTAAAAGTCATAGCACAAGTCTTAGTCACAGAGAACTTGAAGCCATGATTGGTGGCCTAGGACGACATGGCATCAATCGCAAGTTGAAGCCGTCGTTGAAGGAAAGGCAAGTCATCACCCCCTACAGCAAAGGATAAGATCATCGACATAGAGTGCTGAGAAGATGCCAGAGAGAAGGAAGGAAAGAAGACCATTGAGTGCAACGAGGAAATTGGGGTTCACCTTCGTATTGCCGAAAAGAAGCAAAGAGAGCAGTAATCTCACTCTAAAGGAACGACTAGAGAGGAAGATTTGTAGGAAGAGAGGGAGATTACCACAAAGGCCAAAAGAACGGAGTTGGGACAGAATGTGGTATCTCCACAGGTGGTGTTGTATGCCTTTTCCAGGTCAAAATAGGGCAGGGACAAAGGAGGTCGTCGCAGCAAAGGCAGTACAGATACAGACCTCCAAGACATCAGCTTTGCTGTGGCACTTGCGAAAGCCAAATTGAGACGGGGGAGAGGTGGTGATAGTGTTCCAAGAACCACATCAGACAGACATTGACCATACGCTCAAAGAGTTTGGTTTCCGAATAGGAAGAACCACTGCCTGGAGCCAGTCCTTGGGAACTGACGACAACTCCCAGATACAGTTATACAGATATAGTAAATACCGAGACGTGCATGGAGGGAGATGGCGAAGCATCTCATAATGAGTGTCATCCAAGCTCGCTGCTGTAGAACCACAGAGGGCCAGGGCAGACTGAAGGTTGGAGAGAGAGAGAGAAGGGATCGTTATTGGGAACCTGGAGATAAGTGCGAAAGTCTTGGGAAGAAAATTCAAGAACGGGCTTACTATTCAGGAAAGACAGAGGAAGATGAGAACCGGAATTAACAGTCGAAAAGTGGGAACCAAGTTCGGTCGCAACCGCCACCGGATCTGCAACAAAACAGTGCCACAGAGGTAAAGGACTGGCGAGACGTCTGGAACAAACTTACCCGCTAGCTTGCAGATTTTCTTCCAAATCTGGGGCAAAGGAGTATGGGATGTAATCGTGGAGACATAAGATTTCCAACTCTCATGTTTAGCTGTACGGATGGTCCTATGGGCCACCGCACTCGCCTTCTGAAAGAAAATAAAAGAAGCGGCCGTCTAACGCTGTCAGTGTTTCTTCCAGGCTGCCCGCTTACAGCAGACAGCCCAAGCACAGTGTACATTCAACCAGGGAATGCAACTCTGCATGCCCCGGGAAGTAGAGCAGGGAATAGAGTGGAGGGCAGCGAAATATGGTGTCATGAAAAAGGAGGAGGGCTCGAGGAAGAGGCAGAGTGGAGAGAGTAGCATGTAGGGTGAATAGGTTCCAGTCAGCCTTGGCAAACTGCCACCTAGGGAAGAGAGGGGAGGAGGAAAGAGAAAAAGGTGGCATTAAGGATGGGGAAATGGTCACTGTTATGGAGGTCATCAGAACCCACCACATAAAATCTAAGTAAAATCTAAGTAAAGAGACAACGAGCAGAGATAAAGATCAAGACAGGAGAGAGTGCGAGTGTGGGAGTCCACATGAGTAGGTTCACCAGAATTTAGAAGAGACAGGAAAGGAGAGAGGACAAACTGTTCAAGAAAGTGGCGCCGGGTGTTTGTCAGAGCATTACCCCCTGAGGGTATGCCGACAGTTGAAATTATCCAACAGGAGCACTGGCTCTGGTTAGGATTCCAATAGGTGCCAAAGATCAAGAAGAGAAAGTAGGACATCTGGGGAGAGATAAATGGAAAAGACCCTATACCATTTACTCAGATACGGGCTGCAGAACATTGTAGAGGCGACTGAAAAAGTAAGGGGATGAAGGGAACATCAGTACGAATCAAGAGAGCAGTAGAGTTACGGGCTCCAGCTGAAGCTGGGAGGGAGGGGAGACAAAGAAATTACCACGAAAGTGACTAGGACGAACGCCAAGCACCGGCTCCTGGAGACAGACACAAAGTGCTGAGAACAGTGTTATCAGAAGTTGGAGTTCATGGAAGTTGGCATAAAATCTACGAATATTCCATTGAAGAAAGGAGAGAGAATAGCAACAGAGAACAATGAAGAATCAAAGGCAAAGAAGAACACAGCATACTAAAGATCAGGATCAGGATCAGAACCAGGATTAGTAAAAATCAGGGTTAGAGGGCATGGATAAATTAACAAGGACGATGGAGTCAAGGGAGTGGGAGGACGGACCAGAGGCAGGCGGACAGGGTCCGGGGGGGGGGGGAAGGCACTGGAGAGGTGCAGTCAAAGGAAGCAAGGGGGAGGGGAGGGCAGTAACAGGGGAGCACACATCAGCAGGGGCAGCAATGGAGAGAGAATTGAGGGCTAAAGGAACTTCCAAAGCCGGAACAGGGGGTTCGAACAGCGAAATGGGAAGGGATGCAGTGATTGAGTCAGAGGTGGGAAAGAAAGTGACGTCTTCTTACCTGGCAGGGAGGAAGAAGGAGAGAAGCCAGGCTTACGTTTCTGACTTAAAGAGACAAGTGTGCCAGCAGCAACGTACCGGGCGACAGTCCCCATAGTCTCAAGTGGAGAAGAAGAACGAGAGAGATCAATATGAAGATTGCTGGGAGGATGATGGACAACAGCCTGGGAAGGAAGGCGGGAAACACTAGACAGAGAACCAGGAGGGGGACCCCATGTTTCAGAACATAAAGGAGCAGGGGAGGAGTCAGTAGGCGTGTATAGATCCAAGACCTGGAAACAGTTGTGAGACTGAGAAAGGAGGGAAGGGCGAGGATAGGAAGAACACAACATACGAGAATAAGATATGTTAGTGAAAGGGGAGAGACGGTGGACTTGGCGTCTCGCCTCAGGTAAAGACAAACTATAGCGGTGCTTCAAATTAAGGATGGCTTCCTCAAATTTGTAGTGTATACAGGCGCGGGAGGTAGGGTTGGCGTCACCGCAATTGAGGCAGTGGGCCTTGGGAGAAGAGCACTCCGTCTTAGAGTGTCCCAAGTCCCCACACATGAGGCATAGAGACACTGCACTTGTGCATTTGAGGGAACCATGCCCAAATTTCCAGCTCTTATTGCAAAGTCTAGGAGAGGGAGCTCCTGAACGGAGCATTGGGCACCAGCAAGAATTATAAAAGGCGGAAGAGTTCTACTATCAAAAGTGATCTTCACAATGAGAAGAGGCTGATGATGACGACCACGAGAGGTCAAGTGAACGTATCAACCTGGCAGACAGAATGGCCTTGGGATTCAAAGATATGTTTAATATCCTCGTGGAAATCTTCCGGGTTCCTAACACCAGTCGCAACATGTGCGGGAGGATAACAGTGCCAATACTAGCATTTAACCGGGCATTTTTGAAGACCCTAACAGGGGTCACACCCAATGCTGGACAATGTGGCTAAGCGGGTAGCTGCATCCTGAGAAAGAGCAGCAACGACACTTGTAACAAATTGGTTGGGGGTTAAAAGTAACAGAGACATCCACCGAATCAATGAGGTGTTTTATGGAGAAAGAAATTGTCAGGACGTGCAGAATCCAGATCAAAGTATTTAGTCCCATGTAGCAGGATCACACAAGGTGTTCAACGTATTAGCACTGCAAGGGATCGTGCGGGGGGCGTCAGTGGGGGAGTCGGCGCCGAGCATCCCCAGTGAGAGGGGAAGGGGGGGGGGGGTGCTAAAAGGTGCAGTTGTCACAATGAGAGAAGTAGCCACTCCAGGTGATGAGGTGGTCACCACTGGGAGCTTGGGACTCATCCCTATCACAGAGGAGGGAGAGGAGCAGAGGGGAATAGTCGGGAGGGTCAAAGGAGTAGCTTGGTCTGGGCCCAATGTAGTGTGGGTTACAGAACCCGGTCTTCCAACACAGTCCGACTCGAGGGCATGGTCGCTCACCTTATGAGCCTGGGAAGTTATAAGAGGATCATTCAGCGGCATAGAAACGAGGAGGTAATAATTTCATTCAAGAATAAGCCCCCATACCCAGCATGAAGCCACAATTTGAGGATAGGACACCCGA